TATGTGGCAAAAGACTTGAGGTGGCCTCTCTTTGCCTTCCACTGGCACAAAAAGACCTCCGCCACGGGGAATCGAACCCCGGCCACCGCGGTGAAAGCGCGGGATCCTAACCACTGGACCATGGCGGACTCAAGGAAAGAGAGCTTCGATTGGGTCCTTGTGCAAAAAAGGGGTCAAGAGGCGCCAAAGGCGAGTGAGCTGGGAACCGAACCCAAAAAAAGTTTGCCGACTGGGGGGATCGAACACCCGACCTTCGCTTTACGAGAGCGACGCTCTGCCACTGAGCTAAGTCGGCTTGCTGGACGAATGCACGGTATGCATGGAACGACAGCAATCAGCATGGGGGTTTAGCTCAGTGGTAGAGCGCTCGCTTCGCATGCGAGAGGCCGGGGGATCGATCCCCCCAACCTCCATTTTGAATTTTTTTTTTGTTCTTTCATGTCTGTCAGTTGTGCAAGCTTGTCAGTTGGTGTTTGCTGATCAGACTCTGCAGCAACTGTGATTCCGCTCAGCTCACCCTATTGTTGTTTACAAAGGTGCGCCGGCTGGGAGATGCAGTGAGATGCGAGTTTGTCCTGGAAAATGCTGACAGTGAGTGTGGTTCAAAGGTGGTGTGAAGCAAAAAGCGAAAATGCAAAAAAAATGACCGCCCAGTGTGGGGCTCGAACCCACGACATTGAGATTAAGAGTCTCACGCTCTACCGACTGAGCTAACCGGGCATGCTGTGCTCAGCTGAGGTGTGAAACAGGACGAAACGACCAGCCTCGATCAAACAAACACCCTGCCCGCTGCTAGAACGCAGCGTGATGCACCAAAACTCATGAGGGGCCTGCCTCAACAAGACAGCGTGTCCGAGCGGTTAAGGAGATAGACTCGAAATCTATTAGGCATTGCCTGCACAGGTTCGAATCCTGTCGCTGTCGTTTTGTTTTTGCACAGTGTGTGTTGAACACATGCAGAGGCCAGGGGTTCAAACCCCGCTCTGAACATCCATTTTTCTTTTGATCATCACAGCATGCCACATGGTCAATCTACACACTATCGCTCACAGCACGGGGGTATAGCTCAGTGGCAGAGCAATCGACTGCAGATCGATAGGTCCCGGATTCGACTTCCGGTGCCCCCTTGTATTTTTGGTTGGCTTCTTGTGGTTTCGTTTTGCTTTTGCGTTTGGGTGCCTGGAGTTGGCACATGAGCGACTCTCTACAAATAAGGTTCTATGGTGTAGTCGGTTAGCACTCGAGACTCTGAATCTCGCGACCTGAGTTCGAATCTCAGTAGGACCTCTCTCTTTTGCTTTGGCTTCCCTGTTTGCCCTTTTTGCTCCGCTGCTTTTTGCTGTTGGTGGCTAGTGCTCACCAAGATCAACAACAAGCACACAAAAGAACTCCAGCGCGCCAGAAAAAAAAAGGAGGCGAAAAGACGCAGCTTTCAAAAGAGCGTCTGTGTATAACATGCTCATCTGGAGGTTCGAACCCCAGCCTCTGGCACAAAACAAGGGCCGCCCAGGCCGCCAGGCCAGGGCGGCCAGGAAGCGCGCGCTCAGAATTTTTTGCCATGTCCCCGTGGCCCTTGTACTTGGGAAATTTCGCAAAATTTTGGGCCAAAATTTGCGATTTTGCACGTTTCGTGGGCAGCCGCGCCTTCAACAGCCCTGCGCGCACATTCTGCGACAAGTTAGCGCCCAGTCCTGTCGGCAGAACACCGCCCATGCTGGTGCAAAGTTGCGGGATGCTGGGGTTGGCGCAGGTGTAGGGTGGCCGCCGTTTCAATCCCCACCCCAAACAGGCCATTTCCGGTTCCAGGGAGAAAGTGATGCGCTTACAGTGCCTCAACCTGCGCGCTCACAGCAAGCATGGTTGGTTTAGTGGTATAATCGCCGCCTGCCACGCGGTGGACCCGGGTTCGATTCCCGGACCATGCATCTCTTTTTGCACTTTTGGTTTCAGAGTCTGGGCACACGCTCGAACACCTTTGGCTCATCCATTAAGCATGTCTTCGTGGTGTAGTTGGTTATCACGTCTGTCTAACACACAGACGGTCTCCAGTTCGAACCTGGACGAAGACACTTTTTATTTTTTGCAACTTTTGGTCAAGTGGGCAGCGTTAGTGGCCATCCACCTTGCCCTCTGTCTCCTTTCACAAGAACAGCTGTTTCGCGGCTTCCTCTTTCAAAGACAAGTGCAGCGCGCATCAAAAGGAGAAAGAAGAAGAAGAAGAAGACAAACAAGTTCTTGGTTCGAATTCATTCATGATCAAGTCAAGCAGCAGCACAAAGCACTCAAGTGAACCTCACATATCATATAGGTCACCGGTTCGAACCCCGATGTTGACATGAATTTTGATGCGCTATACAGGTGGTCATTGTCATCTGCTGGTTCAAACCCCAGTGCTGCCATGCATTTTGGGGCCACTTCCGAACAACACACACCAGCTGGGTGCTTTGAACAAAAAGAATACCAACCCCATTCGCCAAAATGTGAAGGATGGGATTCGAACCCACGCCTCCGAAGAGACTAGTACCTGAAACTAGCGCCTTAGACCAACTCGGCCACCTTCACTTGCTCGGCTTGGGTCAAAAACAAACCTGTTGTATCGGCCGGTCCATGTGCAATGAGCTCACGAGTGGCAAAAAGAATCCAAAAGGGCTCGGCCGGGATTTGAACCCGAGACCTCGTGCACCCGAAGCACGCATGATACCACTACACCACCGAGCCTTGTTGCTTGATCAAGTCACCTTAGCTCAGTTGGGAGAGCGTGAGACTGAAGATCTTAAGGTCCCGTGTTCAATCCACGGAGGTGACATGTTTTTTTCCTTGCTTCTTTTGCACAACCCTGGGGCAGCCACCAGGCGCTGCAATAGGGCAAGGGAGACAAAACCACAAGTTGCAAAAAGAAGAAATGCTGTCTCCCAGAATCGAACTGGGGCTACCACGGCCACAACGTGGAGTACTAACCACTATACTAAGACAGCCTCTTGAACAAGCGCTTCAACTGCTCAAGGCCCAGTCAACGCCAGCTCTACAAAAACCGCCTTGCGCTTCCTCCTGTGACAATTTTTGATGCAAAAGTGCACAAGAAAACGAAAATTAGAGCTCAAGGCGCGCCATGGAGGCAAGAACGGGAGGTTGAACAAAAGCTGAGACACTGGGCAAAAAATTGATTGCTTCCTGCCAGAATTGAACTGGCGACCTTCTGCTTACTAGGCAGACGCTCTGCCAACTGAGCTAAGAAAGCGTACTGTTCAGTTCCGCAAAACGATCCACACCCGCATAGGCTCACACAGAGCAGAAGGCCTCTTCACAAGCTCCACAAAACCAAAAAGGAGATTGTCCGACCACCCGGATTCGAACCAGGGACCTAAAGATTGCTATGTTCACTACAGTCTTCCGCTCTACCAACTGAGCTATGGTCGGCTGCTTAGGTTCTGAAGCAAAAGGTACTTGAGGCTTCCTCAAGCGAGGCAGAGACAAAGCAAAAAAATGATTGGAGAATCCGGGTATCGATCCCGGTGCCTCCCGCATGCTAAGCGGGCGCTCTACCATTTGAGCTAATCCCCCATGCTGAACACGACAATGCTCAGTTTCCCAACCTCTTGTGCAAAACGTGGCTCACGCAAAAGGAAAAAAAAACTCTCGCGCCGGGAATTGAACCCGGGTCTCGCACGTGACAGGCGCGGATACTAACCACTATACTACGCGAGATTGAGAGTGAGGACTTTTGCATCTAAACTCATCCCCGAGCCCGTTCAAGTGAACTGGAGACCTTGCTTCCCCTGAGATCATGATCACGACAAGTGGGCGCTCTTCTTCCAGATGCGGGCGCGCTAGATCGTGTTGAATGCACTCAGGAGGGAAGGTTTGGCCCCTGGTTCTCTGTTGCACTGGCAGTCATGGGTATTGGACAGCCAAGTGCAGCAGTGACAAAGAGGAAGGGCCTGGACCATCTTTATAGGAGTCTTGGGTACTTTTGGATCAAAACTTGCACTCACTCAAGAAAACGCTCCAATGCTCGCTCGCCATTTGCAAAGTAGCATGGCGGGAATCCCTCTTCTGCCTCCATGCGCCCAAGGGGCAGATGCTGGCAGGCAGCTCATTGCTTGTCAGCCATTGCTTGTCAGCTCAGGGAAGGCAGGGGACGCTGATCCTTGCCCTCCACCTGCACCCACTTCAAAATCGCTTCCTTATTGGCCGTGGTGCGCACAAGCGAGGTCAGAAGAGGCAGATATGAGGAATGACAGCCAGCACCATGTCAGATACCAGTGGGCTGAAGCGTTTCCACGTTCATCAGTTGACAAGGTCTCATAGCTCAGTTGGTTAGAGCGTGGTGCTAATAACGCCAAGGTCGACGGTTCGACCCCGTCTGGGACCATTTTTTTTCCTTCTGCACTTTTAGCATGTCTGTGCATGCTCAAGGCAGCATGTGGTTTCGGGTTTGAACCAAGAGCAAAAAATGAACGCTCTAGGGTGGACTCGAACCACCATCCTTTCGATTAACAGTCGAACGCGCTAACCAATTGCGCCACTAGAGCCTGCTGTCGGCAGAGCAAATGGATTATCCATCCAGTTGCCCAGATCGACTTTATGACACCAGGCGGAGTTGGCTCAGTCGGTAGAGCGTTGGTCTCATAATCCAAAGGTCGGGAGTTCGAGCCTCCCACTCCGCATTCGTTTTTTTTTTGTTTATGGCTTGGAGTGAATGAGTGAGCTGAGGACGTCAAAGTGAGGAATAACAAACTCACATTCTCAAACTAGTTTTTTCACTGGGGAGATGGCCGAGTCGGTCTAAGGCGTCACGTTAAGGCCGTGATCTCTTCGGAGGCGTGGGTTCGAATCCCACTCTCCTCAGTTTTGTTGAAATCGATTTTTTGCATGTTGCTTGTTGCACCGTGGGATGGTCGCGCAAGTAAGTAGGCAGAGAAAAAAAAAGGACGAACCTACCAGGGATCGAACCTGGAATCTCCTGATCCGTAGTCAGGCGCCTTATCCATTTGGCCATAGGTCCTTGTTTGGCGAGGCTGGGTGAAGCCTCATGTTCCTTCAGCGATCGTTTGACGCAAGTTTGTAGAATTTCCGAGTTCCACTCAACAAGTCCGCAATGGTCCAGTGGTTAGGATTTCACGCTCTCACCGTGACGGCCAGGGTTCGATTCCCTGTTGCGGAGTACCTTTTTTCCATTTGCAACATATTTTGGCTGCTTTGACCTCAAGCTGCTTCTCTCCCTTTCCGCATTTCCATGCACTTACCTTGTCTTGCGATTCGATGAAAAGACAGCAGATTCTCCCCCATGGTGGGACCTAAATGTAAAATAGTGGGGTTCAAGCACAAGCTACACAAGGCAAGTGAGGTCCCAGGTTCAATCCCCAGTCTGTCCATGGCAAGCTTCAACTCGAAAAACATGGTCCTCACGAACCCGCTGACCGACCAACCTGCTGTTTTTTATATGGAATCACACATTCGAATTTGCTCTCCACGTTCCTGCGCAGTTTGGTGGCCATCAACCGACCAATCTGCTGTTTTTTTATATGGAATCACACATTTGAATTTTCTCTCCACATTCCTGTGCAGTTTGGTGGCCATCCAAGCAAAAACAAAATTGATCAAATAATGCACGATCGCACTGGGGTTCGAACCTCGGCCACCCAAAACAACGTTATGCATGGATATGCTGAGGTTGCAGGTTCGAACCCTGGTGTAAACATGAAATTTTCGCCAAATTTCAAACTGTCTGCAGGGCGCTGCAAGCTTGCAAGGATGTTAGATCGGGCTCAAAACGTCTCTAGAGAACCATATCATGCCCTGGAAGCCGACACGGCGTGCCCCAGAGGGATTGCAGTCAGGCCATCTGGGGTGCTGGGAGATGTTGGGATGCCCCGGATCCCATTCTATTCGTAAGGCTCGATGGTCTAGTGGTATGATTCTCCCTTAGGGTGGGAGAGGTCCCGGGTTCAATCCCCGGTCGAGCCCGTCATTTTTTGAACGTTTTTGCTCTTGGGGGAGGTCTGGAAGACCCTTGGGGGGTCACTGGAGGCCTGTCCTTGGGCGCTGCAACTCTTTTTCTTGCCGAATCTGTGCTGATCCTGTGCTTTGGGTGCTCAAAGGATGTTTTTGAAGCACCTTGAGTGCTTTGCTCTTGCTGGAGGTCTGCAAGGCCCTTGGGCGCCCCTGGAAGCCCGTGTTTGGGTATGTGGCAAAAGACTTGAGGTGGCCTCTCTTTGCCTTCCACTGGCACAAAAAGA